GTATCGATTTTCGATTGCACCAAAGAGCAATTTATTCGATAGACGGGAACCAACTTAGCCAGCTGCAGGATAGGCTCTGGCTGCTAGTGACGTCCTCAATCTTCTGTTGACAATCGCTGTAATATTTTCACCTTTATAATCAAGTTGAATGTAGATTGGCTTTTTCTCTACTGTGATTTGTTTTACATTTGTGACTTCAGATCTTCCGTACTTGTTAATGAATCTTTGAGGGTAACCGTTTCTTTTCAACATCTTTTCGAGAAACACAAATTCTTTCTCTAATTTCTCTACAGAACATAATCTCCTAGCTCTATAGTATAGAGGCCTGACTTGTCCACGTTTAAAGCTATTTGGACGAAAACTATTAAAATGTAAATATTGTCCATTCCATGTAGGCTTTCGGTAAATTGATTTCTGAAGACTATCGTCTTCTAGGCGTTGCATGGTAACGTCGAGGCAATGGAACTTTCCATCACTTTCATGTTCCATAGGTAATTCAATTATCTCCCTAAATGATGTTGGTTCCTAACAAAATCTATCCATGTAGTAGTAGTAGTAGAGTGGCGTGTGCTACTGATAAGAAGAGACGTTCATCGGCATAAAAAACATCCAATAGTAGGGAGATAGATTTGATTTCAGAGAAAGCAAATGATAGAGCATTGTGGAGAGATCCATGGGAGACTTGAAAGGAACACAAAGGAACACACACAGTACGAAGGAAGACGAGAAGTAGCAGGCACAACACGGAAGATCTGTGCGCATTTTATAGAGATACCAAGTGTCTCGTCTTCTACCGTTACGGTAATAGTATAGTATTAGTAATCAGTAAGAGACAAAACCATAAGGCTAGTTGATTTCAACTAGAGGAGATTGTCAACTTATCCTATAGTCGGACAGACAGGTAGATAGATGGATAGATAGATAGAAAGATGGGTAGCAGCTTTCTTTGTTGTTCGTAGATTATCTCCATTCATTTTATGATTAAATATGAACAAAGTTTTTATTTTAATGAAAGGTATTCACATATATATAAATATATAAAAGCTTTGTTATTTATTTAGTTTACCTTTTGTTCAGCCTAACGCATTCATTTCATGTGATATGTGTCGGCATTATTTTTAATAAAAATTATATACAGTCATCCATTCGGCCTTGACCTGTTTAATATATATATATATTTTAGAAATTTTGTCTATCTGTCTATCTTACATGGATTGTTGTTTCACTTTGTTCCTCTCTTTGTCGATTGTATGTGTGTGTGTGTGCGGGTATCTGTCGGCTCTGTAGCGGTGACCTGTCTGCTGTTATGATTGTGTCACATTTTAGGTAATAAAAAGTGTATGATGAAATATATGTATATATATATATATATATATATATAACTATCTTACCGACAAGACAATGAATATTGGTCGACGCACTCCGCTTGTGCGTCTCTGACCATGCACATGGTCCGAGGTTCGATCCTCTGCCGACGCACACCTGATATCTATGGTTGGCCTGCGAAATTTGGGTTGCCGATATCACATGCTGAAAATTCCATACCTGTACCGAAAAATAAGGTGTGGAATCAAGCTGTAATCCAAAATAATAAAAAATATTTTAAAAAATAATAATAGAAGTTGACGAACTTCATTTTTCAAGAATTGGTTTGTAGGGATTCATTGAAAATCAGTCTCAGGGAGTACTGGACAGCCAGCTGTTTCGTTAGAACAGAGTTTGGGACTCATCAACAGCAGGTACCAACTGCCAGGGGGCGAAACTAGGACCTTCCAGTTAAAAGGCGAGCTGCCTCGTAGACGATTAAGCCACTGGGACCCAATCCCTCAATGTCCAGTCCATGAATTCTAACTTCTACTAAGTCATCAGCGAGCATCTGTTCTCACTCCCGGCAGGATGGACCCTACTGGTTACGACTTCTCACTAGAACTTCAGGAAACTTCGTCACTGGTATTCAATGGTTCTCTAATTGATGACAATCCGTGGTCTAACTTGGAACAAATAGACTCCCTGCAGAACTATTCTTGGAAATTAATCTGATGCTCGCTAGTGACTTGTTACCGGACGAAGTTTCCTGGAGATCTAATGAGAATTCGTGACCAGTAGGGTCCATCCTGTCGGAAGTGAGAACAGATACTCGCTGATAACATTGGTTGGTGCTAGTCGCGCTAAATGTCAGGAATTGGTAGAAGTTAGGATTCATGGATTGGCCACTGAGGGACTGGGTCCTAGTGGTTAAATTGTATATGAGCTTGCTTGCTTTGTAACTTGAAGGTCCTGTGCTCGACCCCTGTCAGTGGGTGTGTACTGCCGATGAATTTGAAACTAGGCTGACGAAACAGCTGACTGTCCAGAACTCCGTGTTGCTGGTTTTCAATTGTTCTCTAACTGATATCAATCCGTGGTTTAACTCGTAACCCCTTAAAGTTATGGCGGTCAGTTCAATATGGATATACCGTCACATTGTGGTATCATTACAATTAAGGACAATAACAATAATTCTTCTCACACTGTTCCCTTATATTCCTATCTTTTTTTTCCTTCTAAGTGTTAGTTTGTATGAGTTCCGATTTAGGGCCTCGTACGTCTCCTCAGTGTACGTCCAGTTCTACTCCGTTTTCTTCCTACCTATCTGTTGGGTAATAGGTTGTTAGAAATACTTCCAATGGTTCACCAACTCTCTGAGCTGTATACAAAACACTGGCTTGGCATTACTGTGAAAGAAAATTTGGACCTTATTCTTTCTTTAATTGGTGGATGGTGACTAGCAGTGGAATGCGCATTTTGTCCCATTTGAGACTCTTCTTCTGGATGTACCTGCATTCCCCAGTGAGTGAGCACCACCTGGATTCCACTGCTAGTCACCATCCACCAATTCACTTCTAATTAAATGCCCAGACATAGTCGAAGCATCTGCACAAGAAGCCGACAGACATGTCAACCTGAGACCGAGCACTTCCGTCCAATCAATCGACAGGAAAATCTAAAATTCAATTGAATACTTATTCTTTCTTCTTCTAACTGCTACTGTAAATCTCCACACGGATGTCAGCGAGATACACGCGTGTCTGTTTTGTTTACACCCAATACTCCTAACTACCTTCAACGTTCTCATTCATGAAAGAAATGATTTCTCCGTAGATTTCTGTCACTGATGATGCTTGTTGTTCTTGTTCTAGTCGTTCTCGTTATTGTTAGTGAGTTGGTTGAATATCTTCCTCACCTATGTCTTCAAAATTATGTTATCCAATTAATCCAAAAAAAAAATTCAATTAAATAATTAATATGACCCGTTGCACAAGAGCAGGAGGTGACTGTCGTGGCCCAAGTGGTCTAGTGGATAATGCCTTGACGTTTGAAACTATGAGCACATTGGATTCGAGCCTCGGTGGGAACATTATCACTGATTCACTGGGGAATGCAGGCACATTCAGTTAGCTGACGAGTCCCATGTAATAATAATAATAGCTTTATTCCAAACAGTATTCGTGGTACAAGTATGGAATTTTCAGCGTGCATTACAATATTTTCATCCAATTACCTCATAAATTTTATAAGATTTTAAAAATAAAAAGCAACAACAACAAAAAGAAAAAAGAAAAAGAAAAGAAATAAAAAAGAACAGCATTGCATTCACATTTTAAACAATGCACCACAGGATATGAAATATAAAATTAGTGTGTAATAGAATATGTGAGCAACAATATAATAGTAACAAAGAAAGGAGAACGAAAGCTAATGGGAACTATTTGTTAGAGTGCCGCAGTAAGTTGATCGTGTCATACCTAACGGATTTCTCATCACATAACAGCTGTACCAGATAAGGTATTGTGGAGTTTCTGTACTTGGTAGTCCTAGTCTATAGCCTCCTATAGTTGCTTCTAGTTCTACCAGATGAAATGCAAAGAGATAGCTGCGTATAGAGAAGATGCTCGGGGTCTGACAATATAGTATTCGCTAGTTGCTTACATGACATTATATGTCTATCCACAATGGTGTTAACCAGTTGGTTTAACGAAATCCCACTTCCCCTACTAACAGCTTTTAGTGCCCTACGCAGCAAAGCAAAGTCTTTCTTAAGTAGTCCAGGAAAGATTAATGGGCAGCAGTAAAGAGGGATGGGTAGAATACAAGAATTGACAAACTGAGAAAGCAAAGACTGCCTTAACTTCCTAACGTAGAACGTTAAGCGAAACATCTTTCTAGTAACTAGCAAGAAGTGAGAGGACCAGGAAAGCTCGGAGGAAATACTAAGTCCACGGTAATTGACATTAGATTTAATTTCAACCTCTATGCCGTCAATGATAGTGGGCCATGTGAGCTAGCTAGTTGTTGTAGGTCACGTTTTCGCCTGAAAGTGAAATTTACTACCTGACATTTAGACGGATTTAGCTTAAGACCGTTTGAAGAGGACCACTGACTAATTTCCGAGAGAAAGTTATTTAATTTGGAACAGTCTGACTGAGAGTTGAAAGGCATGGAGACAGAGAGGTCATCAGCATACTTGACAAAAGTGGCTACATCAGAATGGGGCAAGTCATGTAAGAAAAAAGAAAACAGGAAAGGAGAAAGAACAGCACCTTGAGGAACACCAGCTAAAGTAAGTGAGGTAGTCGAGGGCTTTCCATTGTAGACAGTGTACTGCTTCCTATCAGAAAAATAGGAATGCAACCACTTATTTGTCCAGCTCTCAGTCTGTGTTGCAGCGAGCTTACTTAGTAAGAGAGACCTAGGTACAGAGTCGAATGCAGATGTGTAATCAAGGAAGGCACACTGAACATATTTGGCTCCTCTATCTAAACTAGAGACTATATTATGATATAGAACAACAGCGGCATCTAAGGTACACCTACTATGTTTATAAGCAAACTGCTTGGGGAGGACGAAATGCACGTTATCCTGGATTCCACCAGTGCTAGTCACCCACTATCCACCACCAATTAAATTCCAATTAATCTATGTTTTATTTTCTTTTTTATTCCTTTTATTCTATCTTTTAGCTACCTCGAGATTGTCAACCGAAAGAGCTGAAAACCACCATGGATATTGTTCATAATTTATCGATTACGCTGAGTAATTCTAATGGCAATAATCATAATAATAACAGTAACAACAATAATATTTACACCACCTAACCAAAGTCAGTAGACAATTTTTAACATCGTAATGTGTTTGTTTGTCTATTCTCGTCGTTATCGTTATCATTTCGCCGTTGTTGTTGTTGTTGCTGTCGTCAGCGTCATCATAATCGTCGTCATCACCTACTTCAATGTTGTCTTCTGCATTGGTGTTCAATCTACCTCATTCTACCTCAATAATATTTAGTACCGGTTTGTTCTCCTCTTATACATATTCATATATATATATATATCCTCTTCTGTGTATTGTATCTATTTGGATGTGTAGTGTTCAAATAGAATAGAAAACTGACTGTGTATTCTTTACTCAAATTCATTCCATTCCATTCACACACACACACTGACACCCACCCACACACTGACACATGACATCCACAAGTGGATATTTCCCTCTCTCTCTCTCTATACATATAGATATACATATTACATAATGTGCAGGTACTTCTGTGTGTACGTTTGTGCGTGTGTGTATGTGTATTTTTGTGTGTGCGTGCGTGCGTGCGTTCGTGAGTTTATGTATTGCTAACGAACTGATTATGCTATCTACCTCATCTTCTATATGAAGAATAAAAGTAATACTACTGATAATACTACTGATTTTGTTTCCTGCAACGATATTCAGTAGTATGTAGAGACCATAGAAAGAAAACAAAGAATTATTTCTTAATAACATTACGTAATAAGTATATCTATATAGACATATAAATGTGTAAACTTGTATAATTCAGAGTTCTTTAGTCCATTCCCTCACTTCAAAAGGTACTAATGGTGTGTTAAACTTGCTGAATATATACATCATTACCGACATTACCGACATTCAACAACGGATTAGTCTTCTCCGTCTAATAATGAAATTCATTCATTCATTGATTCGTCGATAATCTGTACTTTCATTATTGGTGTGTTTTTGTTTGTTTGTTTATTGTTTATTTTTCCATTCCTTCCCTTTGCATTTTGTTTATTCCATTTTTTGATGTTTAATAGTGTGTGTCAAACATCCCTGGTCTTTTTTCCGCTCTCTTCCTACCTGTTCTCGTGTTGTTTCTCTCTGTTGGAAGGTTCACCTGTTTCATCTTCGTAAATACATCTATCTATCGATATATATCATTATTATATTCTTATATTACAAGGGTTTATGTGTGCATCCTACAAGAACATAAAGTAACACAGGTCGATTACTGTAGCAGTAGTAGTTGACGGTGTGTTGTCTGTGTGTATGTATAGATAGAAGCGTTTGTTTTTGCTGGCTCTTCTGATATTATTATCGTTTATGTGTGTTTATGATGGTGTGACAGTGATATAAGGTCTGGTGACAATACCGACATCATCATTATCATCATCATCTTGATCACTTTTCTTGTCTCCGACGTGTTTTAGTATCTTTTTTAGGGTGGAGGGGAGCGTTTGTGTTTAAAGAAAGAGGAAACCATCATCTTGTTTATGATTATTCTTATGTGTACACTAGGATGAGTGGGCGTGTGCGTGGGCGTGTGTGTGTTTGTTCACAAGGTGTTCATTGATCTACATTAATGTATGCACATACCACTCCCTCTCTTTCTCTCTCCACCCACCCACCCACGCACACACTTAATAAATGATCACATATGAGCAATGACAACTGAAAACATAAAAGATAGGGTGGGGGAGGATAATTTAGGTTACCCGCTTTAATCCTATTATCTCTTCTTCTTCGTGTGTCAACCTTGGATCGATGGTTTCTGTGTTCTTATCTGATGGTTTGATGTAGGGATTGTGGATACTTTTTCGTCCTTTTTTGTCTCCCACCCGTCCCCCTCTCCCTCTCCCTCTTTCAAGATGCCTTCTTTCTTAAACTCTCTATTTATTTATTTAACACTTGAGCAGAATTTTAATGTTCATCTCCTAGTTACTCTTTCTCAACTTCTTGTTTCTATCGTGGGGGGGGGGGTGCACAACACAACAAATCAACAACCTTCATACATCCATATATAGATGGAAATCCAGAAATGAGTGTATCTTCTTGTGTGTGTATGTGTATGTGCGTGTGCGCGCGCGCACACTTGCTTGAACGTAGTGTGAATGTAACTGTATCTTCTCTCCCAGCCTCCTTTCCTCCCTCCCTCATTTTCTCGTGAAGTTTTTTAATTGTTATTCCTTGTTCAACCACTTTTTTCTTATCTAATCGAGTAGAAACAACTTTGTGTGTGTATGTGTGTGTGTGTGCGTGTCAGTGTTTGTGTGTGTGTGTTATATTGTTATATAAAGAGAATTTTTTTTAAAAATGTTGCAAATATAAACATATATATAATAAATAAATATATACATTGAAAATAAAACCTATTTGTTCTATGTGTATGGTATGATTTAAAATTTCCAGTTGGTACGGAATATTTGTTAAACACCAATCGCGCTGTTGAATAGTTACTTCCTAGGTCTTCGATTTATTTCATGCTTGATCAGGGCATGAATCGACGTCAGTTAGAGAACCATTGTAAACCGGTGGGAAGTACTGGACAGCTGTCACGTCCCCGGTTTGTGACTCTCTAGTGGTATACACGGCAACAGTAAAGAATAGACACCAAATTCAGACGACCTTGAAACAGCCAATCAAATTCTTCTGAATGAAAAGTTGTACTTAATTTACAAAGAAGTGTACTTACGATATAGATGTAATAAAAATGAATCATATAGGGTATATATCTGTAATATACTGCAAAAACTAGTCCCAGACTCTCATAGAGGTGGTTGTAGACATATCATCGACCGAAAGCTGCTACCTTGACGTGGTGGTCGGGCTTGAACACCGCAATGACCCAACAAGCTATACTGGCTGGAACTAATGTTCCTGCAGGTCCATACATGCCAGAAAGGTTGTCTGGATAGCGGTTAGACTAAAAGCAGTTACCCAATCCAATCCTATGACTTCAAATAAATCACAAAATCTCATGCCGAATCGGTCGGGGCCCGGATTAACAACGACCGCGCTTTCTGCTGCCGTGTCACAGGGCAGAAGTGATAAATACGCTACTGAGACACACCAAATGAAGAACAACAAACAAAAACAGGCCGTGTGTGACCGGCCTCAAGCAGTTGTCCTCTGGGCTCTGCGGTCACGCAACCAACTTCCACGGTGTGGGCAGCCGGGAAGTAACAATCGCCCTCACAATCCGAAGTGCACGCGAGACCTCTCTCTTATAGACATATCAAACCAATGTATTCTCTATTTCTCCAACTGTAGCAGATACTGGTTGCATATACGCAGTATATTACTAAGGGAGAGGTTTGATTTCGAGAAGAAAGTGTCTAAAAAATTACCAGTTGTGTACGACTCACCAACTTATACAGACTTCCTCATATAAAGTGGCTGCATCTAAATATATAACCATCAATAGCCCGGCAGTACTTTTCCAGAGTTATTATCCCTCCACACATGCATGTGTTATTCCTCCCTATCAACACATTATCTACAGAGAAGTCAAAAACCAAATCTAGGCGATACTTTCAAAGAGGATTATGACTAGGAAGCATTTGTAATGCCGAGCCATCTGATTGGTCAAATCAAGGTCATTTAACTCTGGTGTCTATTGTTTACTCTTGCCATATACATCTATGACTCCAGCAGGGATCAAATCCTACACATTCAGGTTATAAGGCCAACCTCATTGACTATTCAGCCATTCCGTGAACTCTAACTTGCCAGCCAGCTGTCATTGGTGACCTAGTGGGGTTGACGAGTCCCAAATAGGACGAAATTCGCGTTATCCTGGATTTCTCCACTGCTAGTAGTTACCATCCACTAATTAAATACTAATTAAATGCCCAGACATCGTCGAAGCATCTGTTCAAGAAGCCGACATGTCAACCTGACACCGAGCACTTCGGTTCAATCAATCGACAGGAAAATCTAAAATTCAATTAAACTGATTGTATGTGATGGATTTTCTATTCAAAAGTTGTGACTGGTAGAGTCCGTCATATTGGGTATCAGGTGGGTGCTTATGGATGTCACTGGTTCGTGATGGAGATATATCACGAATTGTTGGAAGTTAGAATGCTAAACGCTCGTGGTAATCTGAGATCTTGAGTTCAATCCTTCTTGGGGGTGGGGGGTGGAAATGTCTTAGTCAGTCAGTGTGCTAAAATAATCTCAAATTAGATTTTGTAAATGGAATTTTCACTGTGGATATATATATGTATTCACACTGGTATGCTTTGAATTAGCGTCTACAAAAAGGTGGATAGTTGATGGTGACTGAAGCAAAGTTATACTTTGTTATATTCTCTAGCGCCGTAGCTGCCGGTAGAGTGTTTTCTTTCTGAGATCTAACGTAATTCTGTTATCAAGAATATTACTATTGCAGGTTGGATCACGTGATGACAACTGTTTCGTCCTAGTGTGAGACTCTTCGGTAGTATGCAGCCACCGGAGTTCAAACCCTGGGACCCTACTGTTAAAAAGTGAGCTCGTCGACTGTTTAGCCATTGCACTCAGTAACCCATGAATTTCAGTTTCTGCCGATTTGTGACATATATGGCGTAACCGCCAGCTAATATGTCATAAGCGAGTACCTGTTCTTTTGTAACGAGAGAAGACAAGGGCCAGGCAACAGATCGTTTATTGAGAAAATCAACAGATATTTATAGATTTTTATGTACATTATTATTAGCGTTATTGTTAGCAGAGGAGCAACGCCTTCTGATTGGTTGTTTTCTTACTGAAGGTTATTCTGTTATCTCTTTGTGGCCGTTTCTTAGATAGTCAGGCCATATATCTGGGGATCGTATCCGCCCACGCAAAGTCTGCTGTGATTGGTTGTTGATTTCTTCAAGGTTAAGCTTTGTTACTGTTTTCTTCTAATGACCCTGATTTGGGACGTAAACATGCACGTAAATTGTTGTCTACCAGTTTTGGCTTGCAGACAGCTCTCACCACACTTTTACGGGGTATACAGGCTCCTTTGAATGGATACCTCGATATTTACTAGGTTTAGTAATTCAAAGGAACTTGTTTAAACGTA